TCCGCATTCATGTGTACGTCTCCACGATTCTGAGTGGGCGTGGTCTGCTCGGCGTATCCATCAATGAATGATCAGTGTTGGCTGCCCCATTCATTCTAGCTCGATCTATTGCTTTCTGAGGTGAAGCATCACTAGAAGGAACGTATTGTTATACCAGAATCATACATTCTGAAGGGTTTCTGTGTTACCACTATAAAGGAAGATTTTCTCCAGTGGTGATAAACTATCAAAAACGGATACCAGAAATTGAAGGAAATGATCAAAACATAGCGAAAACATGGTCGTTGGTTTGATGCCAATGTAGGTCTTCAGGGAGTCTGTCACAAGAATTGAAAAGGGGGGGGGGGTTGGAGGGCAACTGAAAAATAAAGATAGAAAAGAGTAAGTAGCAAATAAGAGTTGTCCTGACCATGATAGTTAGCATCATATCAGTATCGATTGTGAGACAACAACATGAACTTCGTGCACTACCATTTTTTGGAGTAGGCCGGAGACAGGGTCACCTGTGGTATTGCACTTCGGGGTCAACTCGATTCCATATGCGGATGGGCTTCTCTATACGATCTCTATCCACTCCTACCGGCCCTACCTGTAATTACCTGCTGTTCTCAAAAGAAAAACTATAAACTATCTATAGAACCAGTAAGGGATGTGAAGGAATCCCTATCTTTCACAGTCCCTAAAGAACCAATGTCAGTTGCACTTAACAGGACTCATCTTCCACAAGTGTTTGTTGGGATTTCCCTCGGCGAACGATTGACCATGGCATACAGTGTAAGATATCCTCCCCTCCCCCCTCCCCGTCAGTTACAGTGGGCGTGTGGGACGAAGGTGTTAGATCAATATCGCTGAGCACATGACGGAGTTATAGCGTATCATTCACTGTTTCGCGAGGCTGGTAGTTTTCTTTTACTCCTTGTTTTCCTCCTTGTCCCTTCTTGTACCATTTATCTTTCTTCATAACCCTACATGATCAGCCAAATTACTCGTACACTCACAGCCTCTAAAGGCAGCGATTACGATGAAGAGGGAGTGCATCGGAAAGCATATGCACCACACGAAGCAGGCTGCCAAGGAAGCGAGGTGTGGCGCTTCCACGACGAAAGGTGCGCTGGTTGCTGAGCAGGACTTCGAAAGCACTCCGCCCCCAAAAGCGATCCGCCCACTAGTTTACTTGGTGATTTGGACGAGCTGCGTTGCCAGCAACAACTGGAGCAACTCGATTGGAGCGTGGTTTGGCATGGTGCCACCAAACGCGTTGCGGTGAACTCGTTCATACGTCCGCTTTCTGAGCTGTTACCTGTTCATGAGTGAACCAACGGCCAAAAAAGGGGTCCCGTTTTGCGTTTTCTTGACGGATTTCTCCGCTTTTTTTCGCTACTGGCGTACCACTGAGCACCACCAGTTCCCTAAAAAACCCTTCTTTACCCTATCGTAATCACTGCCTTTAAATCCCTACTTTCATTTTCATTTCTTATAAAATTCCTCAGATTTTTTTCAGTATCACTTGGATGCAGAAACGTTGAATTGTTTACCATTCAAATACACTGGTTGTGGTGGGAATGCGAACAATTTCCGTTCCAGTTCTGAATGTCGTATGAGATGTCTGCCAAGTAAGAAGAGTGAAGTCATAGACTAAAGCCTCGATTATAGCCGAATAAATTTAGTGGACTATTTGAAATGCCCAGCAAATTCGCCTCCTACACACAGACCCGATGGTACGTCAGATTGCGATGGAGTAATAAAGAAATGCCCAGAAGGTTCAAGTTGTCAGAAAGGATTCGTTGTGGGCATTTGTTGTGACAACAAAAATCTCGGTAAGCGCTCTATTGAAGAGCTTCTTATTGAAATTTATCATCATTTGAATTATTATACGAGATTTCGTTCAGAAAAATACAGTGCAAATGTGAAACCAGATTGCGGTCATAAAAAAGTGGTTAAGGATAAATCACTGGGATTTTCCGTGAGTTTCTTTTTCCGTTGGTCAATTATCACTAGTATAGCTCCATGTAGATCAAGTTGATAGAAAAAATGGGTTCCGTTTCTAAATCAGTGAAAACGATGGCTGGAGAGTGGAGAGGTGTAATAACAGAAGTAAGCAAACCAGCCCTTTTGGCGTTTCTGCTGGGACCGTATGCTGAATGTTGGGGAGGGGATGGGGTCCCCGACGGTCGACGGACTACTTCAACTCGGTCCTTGAACCGCCTCAATTTGATGTTAGGTCCGTCCTCTCTTTAAGGCTTAGTCCTGAGGTAAGCATCAAATTGAGGCGGTTTTAAGGACCGAGTTGAAGTAGTCCGTCGACCGTCGGGGACCCCATCCCCTCCCCAACATTCAGCATACGGCCCCAGCAGAAACGCCAAAAGGGCTGGTTTGCTTACTTCGTAATAACATCACCGATTACTGATTTACCAGGCCGCTCACCCTTTTGTGTGTGTGGCTGGGACCACCTCGTTGAGCAGCCCCACATCAGAGTCGCCATGTTGTTTCGATTTCCAAAAATCCTTGAAAAAATCATTTCGTAGTCTGTGGCTGTACTCGCGTTCACTTCCGTTCACTTTTTCCTAAAATTGATAATAGCCATACACGATTCATTTTCGTGATTCATTCCATTTCATAGCCTTTTGCGAGCGGTGATGTATTTATATTAGCCTAAGGAAAATACTCCGAATAAAACTTCTACTCCATCCTAGGTTTTTGTGAAGGCACATTAGTTAGGCTTTCATATAAGGGTATGATAAAATCCTCCAAGCTCCACTCCGGAAGACATTAGCCACGTATGCATCTGTGAGACAACAATGACTGAAGCCATTTATAAGTCAGTGTTCTTTTCTAATTCCCTGCGGTCATATTTCAACACTCACTTTGTCAGTTCCAATTTCCGCGACAATCGTCGGTGCGCTAGGAAATTCCCCGTAATTTTCTCAAGTTAAGATGATCTCCTTTTGGCCTGCAAGACTTGATTAACTGTCTCACCTGTATCCGGACACCTCGAAAGGGTGTCCCCCAAGAGGCCCATCGCGCGGCGAAGGAAGAGACGCAGATGCGGCAAAGGACGAGTCGCAGCGCGTGCTGTGCGATATGAGACGTAGTATGGTACACTCTATTTAACCTGACGCCTAACCGCTACAGTATGCGCTGCGACTCGTCCTTTGCCGCGTCTGCGTCTCTTCCTTCGCCGCGCGATGGGCCTCTTGGGGGACACCCACCTCGAACGGGCGCTAGTAAGGTCTCCATTCGCCGCGGTCGCGTACTACCTTGCAGAGCAATCGCGAAGATGTCTAGTCTGAAGGATTTGCGCAGTGGTGCACTCGGAGTTTTTTTTTTACAGTATCCGAACTGCAGCATTTTTGCCAGGTTGATCAAGTTAATGCAAGAAAGCTTTCCCTTATAGAGCATCGCTTAGCTTGAGAAGCTGCTGTAATATTCCCCATATCCGCCTTTCTTAAAACCTGGGCATTGTTCTTGAACTTTATTGTTGCTTCTGTGCCAAACAGGTTTAGGATGGTGGAATTTTATTGAGCCTAACGTTTCGACAAATTCGTCGCTATCAAAGGCCACAACTCCACCAGTGCTGATGACCGCTCAGCCTCCGTAAGTGACTTGAGTCAGTAGGTGTGCCATTCAGTGAAGGGAGTGGGTCGTTTTGGAAGGAAGTAATTTGCCCAAATTCCCAC